TTGAAATTGATGAAACATGCCCTCTGATAGAAGCCTTCAACATGGTCAATGTGGTAGGCCAGCATCGATAAACACACAATTCAATGTAACCCCCATAACCAAAAATCGCAAGGCATCAAGTCTGGTGATCTTGAAAGCCACTGGTGTATAAAGTGGCGACTTATCACACAATCTTCACCGAACGTATCCTTCAGCAATTGTTTGGCACCGCGAGAGATATGAGGAGGTCCTCCATCTTGCATGAATGCTATTTCGCTTAGTGCTTGTCTGTCCTGCAATAAGGGAATAACCTTTTTTTTTCCAAAAGTTGAGCATAACGTTCACCAGTTACAGAAACGGTTTTAAAAGTTCTTTCATTGATTTCTTCAAAGAAAAATGACCCAATAATAAAAGAAGAAGTGAATCCACACCAAACTGTAACTCTGACCTGATAAAGTGGCATTTCTGTAAAAATCCTAGGGTTTTCTGTTGCCCAAATGCGGCTGTTTTGAGTGTTAAATTCTCCGTTTAGTGAAAAGTGAGCTTCATCTGTCCACAGTACATTCGACAGCCAGTTTTCATCGATATCAATTTGCAGGAAAACGCATGCCGCGAATTCTTGATGCTTCTCAAAATCGCCGACTTTTAGCTCGTGAAATCTTTGAATTTTGTACTGGTATTTTTTAAGAAAAATTCTTAATGCTTTCCAAACTGTTTTTTACGAAGTCCTCGTTAGTTGAGAAACTTGTTGTGCACGTAAGCTCGTGGGTAAGCCATCGTAGAGTGCGCGCTCATGCATGCGCCTCTGATACATCTATATGAATGAATGATTTGACAGTTCTGCCTTCTTGACTCGGTTGAACAGGATAAAAAGTATCCTATGTTCATCTGCTGGTTCTAAGCTACCTCCTCACCAATTTTCATCCAAATCGGTTCAGCCGTTCTTAAGTTATAAATAGTGTAACAATTAACACTACTTTATTTTATATATATATCTATATATAGAGAGATTGTTCAAGATAAACAAGATTGAAATACTAATTAAAGATGAGATATATTTTATCATATATGATTGTAGAAGGCATTGTGATCCTCGAAACTTGAGAAGAATATAAATAAAAAAGAAACTCATCTTCCCAAGCTGTTATGTTTATTAATATTATGTATTGCAGAGAATAATACCTTTCTGGACAAACAGACTTTTCAAAATACAGTAACACCTCTTTAATTCAACCAACTACCATTCAAATAGCTTAGAAAATTTAACCATTTATCACATCTCCATCAAAGTATCAAATGGCTATAATATTCAACACCTACTCAACAGGAATCCCTTGAGGTGTTGTAGGATTTAAACAAAAGGTACATGGAATAAAAAGTGCACATCTTTATATAACACTTCGCTACAAAGAGTCTGTTCTTACAATGTGGATGAATCTGGTCAAACTTACCTTGGGTGTGAGAGACTTCTTTTTAGTTGGTTTTTGGGGTGAGGGCTGTATAGGATTTATGGTCTCTATGGCCTGCACAAACATGGGAGGTTGGCACTGAGTTTATTTTGTTACTTGTGGTGCAAATATTTATTTTATGGCCACAACTCCCAGCACATCTAATGTGGTTGCCATTAATACGATACAGACTTAGTGAGGTTCCAACTTTGAGGTGAAAACACTCCGGAACTTTCCTAATGAAAATTTGATGGTGATGAGATACAAAAATTTCCTTTGTAATGAGGTACAATTTGGATTCTAGAGATATAATCACAAGGAGGTAATTCCAATAACTAAAGTAAATAACAAGTAATGGTTTGGCAACATCATTTATATTCACTCTTTGGGATTTATTTACTTCTTCAGCTCATGAGAAGAACAACTTGTAGATTCAATGGAGTATGCCAAAGTAATGATTGGTAATGTCCCCTTGTGACATATTTATTATATGTGTAAATAGAATATATGTAAAATCTAAGATACACAATTCAATGCATTATCTAAGTTTGAAATTCTGGGGTTCTATGTACCTCAGTCTAACCCTTTAATTCGACACCCAAGGGATCAGAGCATTCGGTTGTATTAAAGGCAGATGATTCCATCACAACATTCACTGCTAGAGGTCATTATTCCAGGATGGGTGGCAAAGACTGTCTCCATGTGGATAGCCAATCAACAACAGCAGCTCTTTTTACCCATCATGGAGCCTTAAAGACTAATTTTGATATAAATGCTACAGTGCCCGTGAAGGCTGACGCGCCCTATGTTCCAGGATTGACAGAAAGGTCGAGAAATATGCTAGTAACCCCAAACATCACTACCGATATTAAGATTTATTAATGTAATTCAATGGCACACTTGGTAGTAGACACAAGTTGACTGAACTCCTACTACTGGCTGACAAAGTGAGTGGAATCAGCATTCAAGAGATCAAGCTTAAATCAAGAACAAAGCTGAATTTTGGGGCTTTCAATATCATTAAGTAAGACGAGAGACTGAACAAAATGGAGGACTTATTACCTCTTTGAAAGAAATCTTATATTTAAGAAAATTAATATTACAACAAATACAACAACAACAAACAAAAAAAAAGGCTTTTATTAGGGCCCATTGCCCTGTATGGATTCGCCATACAACAACAAAATAAAACTAATTTTCTGCCTTTGACCATGTCCACGTGAGCCTTTGTTTCAAAAGGAATATATTTACACATCTGTTCTAAAACTTTCCTCACTACCTCTTTTGCATGTGAATCTATTTACAATTGATCTGTAGAAATTATAGAGTTCTATTTCTATATTATTCTTTTCTGAAATAGTTGTCAGCGTCTACAGTGGGTTGCTAAATCTCCAGAAGGCACAACAAATACATGATTTATAGAAATATTGGGGATACAAACCATAGACCCAATAGAAGGCCAATCAGTATCTTCAACTGCTACCATCCCCTGAACAAATAGGACCAACATTAAATAGCCTCATGGAAGATAATGCAATCATTCTTGGGGACTTAAATAGCAAAAGCCAGTTGTGGGGATCTCATTAGGATAATCAAAGAGGAGAAAGGCTTTCTAAAATCTTTGATGAGACTGATTTGATCTTCATAAATACTGTGTGGAAATCACCTATCTATCCCATTCTTCAACAGATGCTCTTACCTTCTCCTCCAGCTCTTCCTCCTCCACTTTCGAAATGTTCATGAGGGAGAGGGATGATGGCAAGGAGAAATCTCTCTGTCACACCGCACTACTGTCAATATTTGTCATTCTGGTCACCATACACAACTATCAATTATTATTTTGTCCATAATATACATATTTAAAATATTTTTCTCCCCATTGAATATAGGCGAAAAATATTTTTTTAAACTTAATTCTATTGACATTATGTGGCGCTGAGTTTGTTGTTGACACACATTAATAGGTTATAATACCTTGATAAAGGTTGGCATTCAGCCAACTGAAATATTGGTAAAATAAATGATATTTTGATTCAATATATACCTTTTTAATTAAACTATCAATAAGTGTCCCCTCTGGTCACCACAGACATTTAGAAATTTTATTATTGTTCTTGATTCGTTTCATGATTTCTTTGAGTTCCACTTTTCTAAATATGATAAAATAGACAGTTCTGTGTGTGTATTTATGTAGAAGAAAGGATCCAGAACCCAATTAGGTATAGCCAGGTCTAGAACAGCCATGTCTTGAACAGCCATGATTACCTCTTTGAAATTATTAAGGAGAACCTCTTAAAATTTTCAGAATTTTAATAAAGAGCCTTTGACTGTTTGAACTCACTAGCGCACTCTAGAAGACTTCAACGCCCGTTGGGAATAAAAAGTACCCACTTTGGATTCAATGAATTAGATTATCCAGTAGTTTCTCTCATGATATAATGGAGTGGGGTACTTTGTGAAGCCCTTCTCTTAATCTCATCATAAATATAATGAATAAAACTACTTCACTCAATAACAACCAGGATACGGAAGCTGTCCCTGGCAACATGCTATAGGTGAGATAGAGTTACGTGCATAAAATAAAAAATGATAAAGCACCATTTGGGTTATAGATTAGAAACACAAGGAAATGGGACCAAATAATCCAAATAACTAATGTGTGATGTTTCAGTAATAGCGTTGTTACCATCATCAGACAAAAGACTAAATGAAGATTGAGACCTGAATGAAAGAAAATAAAAAAACAAGAAAATATGAGATCTGGACCTGGAATTTAAAAAATATTGTAGCGAAGTATTTATTATTTTACAAGCATTTATTATTTTACACTAGAATTAACAGAGTATCATTTTTCTATGTTTATACTTTACTACTCTGTAAACCTCCCTCATTCCTTATCTTTTGTTTATCCTTCATAGTTTGTTCTTGACTTAAATAAATTGCTGTCTCATCCTGAAGTTTTGTCTTCCCTAATTTTCCACGTGGCAATATATATAAAGCTAAATTTTGGTCGTTGAGGTACAGCTTGCACCACGCTGACGAGGGCCAACAGCCCGAAACGTGTAAGTGGTTAGCATTTCTTGATTATTCAAGAATAGGTATTTGGCCATTTCTGGAATAATTAGAAATAAACATAAAAGTTGATATTTATTCCAATAGATGGTGCAAGCCATCAGCAACTTTCTGTTTTCCGATTAGTTGATGCCTTTTTTTATAATGCTGAATGCTGAATAGTGTTATAATGAAGTTTAACTGTTTATATTTCTCTTTGCTTTCTTAAAATATAAAACCCACATTTCCTGTAGCTTCCCATCATATCCCCTTAAATCCTTCACTTTTCTTTGATAATACCAATGGGATCTAGTTGTTGTTGTCGTCGTATTCAATGAAGAGCCTCAGAATGTACTCTAGTGATTGCACAATTGAACACAGAAGAAATATCATTCCGCATTTGTTTCTTTTCAACGAAAAATCAAAATTTATTTCAAGGAGAAATAACGACCATCTCCAACCTTAGGGATGAGGTATTAAAGGATGAATTGTGATGGCCAATGATGAATGAAAAAATAAAAGTGTCCAGGGATGGGAATCGAACCCACAGTGTTCCGCAACCGGGCAGATGCCATGTCCACTAGGCTACTCTGGACATATTCTTTCGTTCGTAAATAATACATAAAGTAATTTATAATACAATATAACAACAACAACAACAAAAGCCTTTATTTAGGGCATTCCGCCCCATACAGGATTCGCCGTATTTACACGTCAACAAGAGGAGAGGGAAGAGGAAACATTTACAGCAAAATAAAGTTTGTCTCACATTCAGTTACCTATCTACAGATAGGTCATCCTCCAGTATCCTTTGCCCTGCATTCTTTCTCATGCGCCCAGCTTCTGTGCAAAACTTAAAGTATCTAACAATCAGTAATTCACCATCCAGAGCTGAAGAGAGAAGTTGACATATGCGATGGTATCTAAATTGACCAAAGTTAGGGCTTGGGAAAATTTCAGTACGTTTTTCTGTTAAGATAGGGCATTGGAAGAAATAGTGAACCAAATTATAATCCATGAGATCCTTACAAAGTAAACAGTTCCGACCATTTTCTTTCCAGAAGTCTTTTCTTTCTTCCATGAAAAATTGCCATAAAACTCTATGTTGTGCAACTAGTCTTTTGTTGGGAAGCGAGATATTTAATCGTAGGTACTCCTCTGTCATGAATGATTCACTCAAAAATTTGTAGTGAGCAAAGTGGGTTGAATCAATGATTTTCATCTGATCGTTTTGAATTAGTTGGTCTGTGGTGGTTCTAATTATGCCTGGCAGTTCTTTCTGTATGGCTAAGTTATAATACAATATAATATAATGCGGTCCGTGATTGCAAAACGAAATCCGAAAACTACCCCGAATGTGTTTCGGATGTTGTTTTGCAATCACGAGAAATAGTTATTCAACAATTTATCAGAATATACTAAGAGTTATTTAGGTGAAATTGTCAAGTAAAACTTTTCCCTGAAAGCCTGATATTTTCACCTTAAATATTAATATAAAGGATTATTTTATTAAGTTATTTTTTAAATGTTTAAATATTGTTTATTAAAATCATAAAGAGGTCTATAGAACATCTGATTGGCTAATTGACTTGCACCATACTGAGGAGAGTAACTTGTCCCAAATAGAATACATGCTATTGTTTTCTTATAATGAAAAATCTCCCTTTTTCACGTTTAACAAGAAATTTGATATTTGACTTGGTAGATGTCAGATTTGTATAAGACCTATTTCTATGAGAAAAAGAAGAGAGTGATGTCTCAACACCTTGATTGTATTTTGATTTATTTTCAAAGATTCATTGCTAATGTTTTAAAATATTTTTTTCATAGAGTTAATGATTTTTTTTTTAATTTGAAAAGAACACTTGATCATATCATTGCCTGATTAAAGAAACCATGATGCTAAGTTTTCATATTTGATTTCCATTCAAGTTCCAAATTGATATTGATTTCTTGCAAAAAATATCTTACCAATTAATTAAAAACTTTTTGTAGAAATTTCTTAAATTTAGATTTGTAAATATTGCCACATGATAATTTCTCTCACATGCCTATAGAAATATATCAAACTTGATTTCCAAATAGATTTTCTTGTAATTATTTTTTCTATCATTGTTGATTTAGTTTTTTAATTAGAACAAAATAATAATTTTTCTGTATAATACTCACCAAAAGTTTGATAAACATGTTTATACGTGAAAATAAAGAAGGCATATCCTAACCAAGAGCACCTGTCAACCTGGAGCGTAGTTTAATGACTCGCTCCAACTCGCGAAGGGTTCGACCTGTACTAGTCAATTAGGGGGTCAATGGAAGGATTGTCTAAATCGTTGGTTTTCGACCGCTACCACCCAGGTTTAATCCCTGCATTGGGCACTTTTAGGTTGCTTCGATGTCAGTCTCTCCTGGCACCGCCTTGCAGGATCATCCACACGCCCAGGAGGTAACTGATACGTTTCTATTAATTGTTAAATATTAATGGTGAAAATTATTTTGTAAGAAATCGCACTATATATATATATATAAAGATAAATAAAAGATACACTATTTTTAAGCTACTATAATTATTTTATTCTATTTACAATTCTTACACTCGTACACATTCTATTGCACGTATCTCGTTGTTTACAAGATGATGATAAATAATGCAGAGTAGAGTAATAATATATCACAGATCATTCCTCCTTCCTTATATTGTTCATAGTTGGAGAAAACCGGCAAGGAGGGCATCGAGGTCGGGTAGATCTCCTAGGCGGAGGTGATGTGGAAATTTGAGGGTTTTGTTCCAGTCGGTGAGGTCCTGCTCCAGCGTTGTCCAAGGTCCAATCAGAATCTTCAGCATATTTGGTATCTGAACCTGTCCTCATCTGATTGACATGCACTTTAAATGTGCCTTTTAGGTTCTTTACTAGATAAACATTGTAACCTAGTCGTCGTATCACCTGGGCCTTGAACCATTTGCGCCTATTTTGTATTACTCTTGTAAACAGCACTTTATCTCCAACTTGAAAATGTCGCCTTCCACACTCATTTCTCCCAAAAGTCTTCTGGATAAATTCAGAGTTCAAGCAATTTACAAATGTTCTAGGCACATAACTTAGGAGACGTTCTACAGGAGGCTTATCTAAAGAGGTAGGCGTATTTCTATAATTAAACAGAACATTTTGTAAAATACAGTCAATATTTGAGTTTGGAGATTCTTCTAACGATTTTCCAGAGATTTTTTTATTATTCTTACCGAAACTTCAGCAATTCCGTTAGACGAGGGATTATATGCTGGCGAGGTTAAGTGGTATACATTATTTTTCCGTAAGAACTCCTTAAATTCAATCGAATTGAAGGGGGGGCCATTGTCAGACACTAAGCATTGCGGTAATCCATACCTGGCGAAACACTCCCGTAGAAGCTTAATATTTTCTTGCGAAGTAGTACCTCTAGCTGGGAATACTTCAATCCAATTTGAATTTGCATCTACTACTAATAAATAACAATCACCTCTGAAATAGAAATGGTCAACATGAACTCGCTGCCACGGTTGGTTAGTCCTGGGCCAAGGTGTGTTCTCAGCGGGAGGAGCTGTCTGATGATGCATACAGGGAGAACATTCCTTCACAAACTCTTCAATTTGACTATCCATTTTTGGCCACCAAACCGAAGATCTGGCTAGAGATTTCATGCGATTGATTCCTATATGACTTTGATGAAGTAACTTCAACATTTGATCTTGACAGGTTCTTGGAATCACTGCCCTAGAATCAACAAAAATGCATCCCTGCAGTACAGAAAAATTTTCCAATTTTGAAAGGAATGGTTTCATTGTTTCATCCTTTTTTGCTAACTGAGGGTCTTCTAATAGATATTCCTTGAGCTTATTTAAAACCGGATCTTTATTGGTTTCTTCTTCAATAATGAGGTGGTCCAATGGAGTTACATTTAAAAATGATATATCATGTGTCACCAAATCAATGTTGTCTTCCCTTGAATTTATTTCCTCAAGTGGAAGTCTTGAAAATGCATCCGCACAGAGCATGGTATCTTTATTTGTATATCTAATATCGAAATCGAAATTTGACAACTCTAAAGCCCACCTATGCAAGCGATTTGCAATTAAAGGCGGAAGAAGTCTTTTGTTTCCAAAAACAGTCGTTAAAGCTTTATGATCACTCTTTAACACAAATTTTCTCCCAAACAAGTATTGTCTCAGTTTGGAAGTTGCAAACACAATAGCAAGTGCTTCTTTCTCAGTCTGAGAGTATTTGACTTCTGCACTTGACAATGTTCTGGAAACAAAGGTGATTGGCTTCTCTTCCCTTTCCACAATATGACACAAGACCCCACTTATGCCATAGGCAGATGCATCACAGGTTAAAGTTAATGGAAGCTTCATTGAATAGTGAATAAGCGCCTGGGAATTTAATAGAGTTAACTTCAAATTCAGAAATGCCTTTTCGCATTGGCTAGACCATTTCCAACGATTGTCCTTCTTTAGGAGTTGATAAAGAGGACCAGCCAAGGTTGACATATTAGGTATGTATTTTGAATAGAAGCTCAACATCCCTAGAAAACTCTTCAATGATGTTTTGTCGAAAGGCTTTTTACACCTTTCTAATGCTTCCAATTTCTTTGAATCTGGTCTAACACCATCTTCATTTATAATATGACCTAGAAAACAAATGCCTTTTTTTAAAAATAAGCATTTTTCTTTATTAAGGGTGAAATTTAGCTCTTTCAATTTATCGAAGATCATTTTTAAAATTCTGTAATGTTCTTGTTCATCTTTAGAACCAATGAAAATATCATCTAAGTATATCACCGTGTTGGGAACATCATGAAAAAGGCTGTCCATACACCTCTGGAAAATGGCTGAAGCTGGACTGATGCCAAAAGGCAATCTATTATATCGGTAAAGTCCTCTATGGGTAGATACCACTAGCAGATTTTTTGATGCTTCATCCATTTCAATTTGATGATATGCGGAGGAGAGATCCAATTTGGTAAAAATCTTGTTTCCTCCTAGATTTCCCAACATAGTTTCTATAGTAGGTAATGGATATTTCTCATCTTCAATGCAATTATTCAAAGTATTTTTAAAATCACCACACAAACGTAGTTCTCCATTTGACTTTATTACCGTTACTAAAGGCGTAGACCAATCACTAGCATTAACCTTTTCAATTATTTGACTTTTTTCAAGTCTGTCTAGTTCTTTGTCTATCTTCTCTTTAATGGAAAAGGGTACTGGTCTAAATTTAAAAAATTTGGGCTTTGCATTTGGCCTCAATGATATTGAACCTTTAATGCCCTGAATTGGTAAATCTTTATTTTCAAATACTCTCTTATATACTTCTAAAAACAGTTCTAAATTTGAAATTACATTTATATTATTACAGATATCAAAAACGCAATTGAGCCAATCAGTTTTTAAAATTCTTATCCAATTTCTGCCCAGTAGCGGCGTTTGGTTATTAAACTGGCCTGTCACAATTAGGGGTAGTTTTTCCTGATAGTTTTTGTAACTAACATTTACCAAGCATTTTCCAAAAACTGGTATCATATTTCCTGAAAAACTTTTCAAATGTCCACTGTATTTCTCTAG